TATGCAATTGAAGCTACCTGCCATGCACCGGATGCAGTATGTCAATTTAAAATTTCCCCTTCTCAATCATGATCACTTTCATCTCGGCTGGAATGGATTATGAATTTTCTATCCTCTAGTAATTTGTTTTGGTTTGATTGTTTTCATTTTACACCAAATCTATATCAGTTTGACTATTATATCTGTTGTGTGTAGTATGGATGCTACAAGGAGATCTACAGAGTATTGAAGCCTGGTCAGTATTTTGCTGCTTATGAGTGGTGCATGACTGATTCCTTTGATCCCAATAACCAGGAACACCAGAAAATTAAGGTAGGCATCTAAAGAGCATGTTTATGCTCCTACGTTTGTTGTGCATCCATGTGTTGATCTTACATGAGAGTTTTATTTATACAGGCAGAAATTGAGATTGGTGATGGTCTTCCAGACATCAGGTTGACCAGACAGTGCCTGGAAGCTCTAGAACAGGCTGGTTTTGAGGTGAAATTCTACTTTTCCGTCTCCCCTCCCACCCTTTTTCTTTGTAATTGAAGATGGAATATTACCAGTGTAGCTGTTTTCCCTTTTATTTTCATTTTTGTCTTCTAGGTAATATGGGAGAAAGATCTTGCTGTTGACTCCCCTGTCCCTTGGTACTTGCCTTTAGATAAAAACCACTTCTCATTGAGTAGCTTCCGTCTAACGGCTATTGGACGCTTTGTTACTAAAAATATGGTAAAAGCTGCCAAACACCCCTCCATATTTATGATGCTCTTTATTAAAAACTGATGTTCTTGGATGAGATGGCCATTTTAAGTTCATAAGCATTTACCTGTAATTTTCCCCTTTGTAGGTCAAGGCTCTAGAATTTGTGGGATTGGCTCCAAGGGGAAGTCAAAGGGTTCAAGATTTTCTCGAGAAGGCCGCAGAAGGGTTGGTTGAAGGTGGCAGGTGAGTTAGAAGTCCTCGTTCTCCATGATTACTTCTGCATGTTGGTTTACCCCTAGGTTTATGAATGTTGTAGTTTGAATTAGATGTAATCTCTATTTTCTGTCCCCAACTAACATGATGACAAAATCTCTTCTTTTGGATTTCAGGAAAGAGATCTTTACACCTATGTATTTCTTCTTGGCCCGAAAACCACTTGCAGAGAGCCAGTAATCCAATGATGCAGGAGCTAATTAACCTATTGCTCGCTGCTTGCTGCTTTCCTGGGAAGTTTGACAGATAGAATGTGGTATATCTTTTAAACAATAGACCATGCTAGGCAGCTTCCAATTTGGTGACCTGCAGATCTATGTTTAGACCTTTGTGACTTCAGTTGTATTTGATATCTTGTCAGCTCTCTCCTCAATTTGGAATGCTTCTCCTTTTAGTTATTTGATGAGCATATTTTCCTTCACCATAGATTCCATTTAATCCTAATATTTTGTGGCAATTAGAAAAGCTTGAATGTGCTTAAAGGTTCATAAATCTAAAACGACGGTCCTATTGGTCGATTTCCTGTCAGGTCAATTGGATTTTCTTTCGGGATTATCAGGGAAAGATTAAGCAAAATTAATTAGCCACCAGCTTTTTCAATCTGGTTAGCCAAATATATGTCCAACTCCCTTAGCATAAAAATATCAATTCCATTGATGTTTGATGAAGAGTAGCCTTTGGCCAATTTTGAGATTTGATTCTATTCAAGTTTCATTTTGTTTACCTCTGTTAGTCACACAGTTACAGTTGCTGTGAGAGTAGCGTGGCAGGGAGCACACTTGACAGGAGATAGACTCGGGCGGTAGTCGCCCGCTTTGATCCCGCCTTGTTAGTCATCCGTAGAGCTTTCTTTTGCAGAGATAACAATCCCTGCTAGGGTCTATGTCCTTAAGTCTGTTGGTTTAGGTGTGATGGCGCCGATCTAATGCACGTATATATCTTACCTATTGATCTGACTAAGGTTGAGCTGGGCAAAATACTATTCAATAATCCAGGAAAATGCCCTTCACTCTTATTCATCAAAGAGGAAAAAATTTACAGGAATAAACAGGTTTAAGCAGACTTGTATCTGATGATAGCATCAAACTGAAAAAAGAAGGCACTCTCTCTCATCGTGCCCCATAGCTCTCATGGTGGTTCTAAATTCTCTTTTGGTCGGGGACTTCATTTTTAACGTTATTGCTGTCATTTTGACCATGGGTTTCATTCGAGTTAGCCGGCGGATGGTAGTACAAGCGAGCAGTTTGAGGGCAATGAGAGTGAAACCTTCCAACTATTCTGACCAATGTATCAAACATCTCCATGTACTTTCTGATCATCGGGAGTATATGTCTTTCACTCCTTGGAATGCCTCTAAACTTTTCATGGGGGAGAAGGGAGAATTAGATGAAATATAAAGAGAGAAGGGGAAAGTAGAAATGTGTCAGAATTTAGAAGAAGTTTGCACTCCATGAAATATGAGTTGTTTGAGGCTTGAATAGATAAAGAGGCAACTGCCACAATATCCAAAAAAAGAGGGAAAAAAAAACAGAAAAAGATTTATATTTAGATAACATAAAAAATTATGATGCAACAAGCTAAAAATACAAAGTGATCTATTTATGGGTTGGTGTGTTTGCTGTCTGTAACCTGAGAACCAATTTGATCCCAGGCCAGTTCAGAACTGCTGCTCTATGTCCCTGTCAGGGCAAGTCCCTGGCAGATTGAAATCATCTTTGCATTTCGGATGCATGATACCAAGATTGCTCGAGCAAACTGCTTGCAAATTCATTTGTCCTGGGTACTATTCACTTGGCTACTTGTCCTTCCTGGAAAAGTTCAAGAACTTAGAACCCATATCAGCAAGCAGTTGATGTGTAGTTAGGGTAACCCTTTGACATTGACGAGATCAACTCTTTCTAGAGTAGAACCTGATCGAGGCTCCAGGGGAATGGAGGCAATGTTGGACCATGAGACTGCAAGTTTCACTGGTCAGACATTGCATTGTCAACAGTCAAGACCGCAAGCCTAAGTGCCAAAGAATTGTAGTTAAGCCATGGTAGGCCCAAGCAGCCACATTCCGGGGTTGGTGGGAAAAGAAGGTGGGAAAACCAAAAGGAGGGTCCAAGCAACTGTCTGAGTCCAAGTCCCACCAAAAGTCTAGACGGCTGAGGAACAAAGTCCACGAGACTTTTGATTTTAATTTATAACCAAATTTGCTTCAATAGCCCTCCTTGAAGTCAACATTTTTCTTTTGGTCCATGGAACTTGATGGAATTAGGCACATATCCCAACTAGACTACTTAATTAAGCTATTGAGGAAAAGAAAAAGGCGAACCATTCTTTTAGTCAAGACATAATTGGTCATGTTGTTTTGCTTGCAAATTTTTGATTTGTTAGATTTCATTCTTTCTAGTTTTTTGTGTATTTTTAGGACCACATTCAATCATTTGACTATAAATCTTTAATTTAACGTACATGAAATTTTTGAGGTCATAGAAAGACAAATGAATAGAGAGGATATTTGCTTTGATACTATGTCCTTTTGGAAAAACCATTGTAATGGTTTCATTATTAGGTAAAGAAGCAAATTTGATCATGTTTTGATATTTATTATATTTATATATTGAAGATATTTATTTTTAACGTAACAGAAGCAAAATTTTCGTTTCAATATTTTGTTGGTTTTGTCTTGGCAGTGGTCCAACTTCAAATGGAAATATTTTTGATGTTTATGAATGTTTCTAATGAGATATTCAACTAATCAAGGCATACAAGAGCCAAGTTTGGTAGACATAAGACAGTGGACCCTTTCATCAGAAAATCCCACACACCCCTGTCCACCTAGATGCCAGCCATGTTCATCAAAGGTTAAACAACAAGCAAAATGTAGAACAATATCATTAAATTGGGTTCATCGTTTAATGGTAAAGACAGAAACCAATACCAATGGAAAGATTAAAACTGGAATAATTAACTTTGTGTATCTAATTGGAGTTTGTTAAGCTCCCATCAGACAGAAAAAATAATCAACTCTTTCACGTCAGCACCAACAGCCGCCGCAGCCTTGGGACCGTAACACCCAACATGCGCCGATACTTCTCTGATAATGCTGTCAACATTGCCGGTGGCGCCGCCGCGGTGGTGGTCGTCAGAGTTAGCCGGTGGATGGTAATACAAGCGAGCAGTTTGAGGACAGTGAGAATGAAATCTTGCAACAATTCTCACCCCTGCATCCAACATCTCCACGTACTTCCCCATCTGTAACACCAAACGTATATCTCTATATCTTTATCTTCAAAAGAAAAGAAAAGAAAAGAAAGGAAAAGAAAAGGGAAATGAAAGGATGGATTTACTAGAAAACGTCCCAAAGTAAAGATCCCATGTAATGGGAAATGGGGTTTGAGGTTGGGAGGAACAAAGCCAAGACCTGTGATTTATATAGCTATGAGTTTCATGCGTTTTCGAGGCTGTTTCCTTTCATTGTCTCTACTGATATTTATTTGCCCAATCCAGCTCACATTTTACTTGCTCCCACGGTTGGTGGAATGATTTTCAATATATGCCCCTATATTTTACTTTATTTTAATTCTTTACTCTTATATTTTTAAATATTTTTCTTTCTTTTGACTTTCTTGGATATTAAGCTAATGAATTTGATGGATTTTTATATTAAAATTTGGAAAAAAAAATTTTTAATAAATCTTTAAAATCCTAAAAACAAATCATGAAAATTTAATTTGTAATATAAAAAAAAGAATACTAAATGTTTAAAAATGAAAAAAATTGATTTGAGAATTTCGAAAAGAACAAAAATGAGACAGAATAGCTAGTACTTAATGATAAATTGTCATTTTAAATAGGAAACTTGTCTCTTCCAATTGCATATCAAAACATTTCACATGTGATAATATTCCATTTGCATATGTATGGGATTAGGATTAGTATTTGTTTATGAACTTTTTTATTTGTTTTTAAATTGAATTGTTACATTTTTACGGCGACTAATCAAATTTAAATGGTATTGCAAAAGTATTGGCACAAAATTTCACAATTTTTTATTATGTATATCTTTTTGATTTTAATGGTAAAATTGAATATACTTAACCTGTCTGATTAATTACATAAATAATCAAGAAGATTATTATATGGTCCAAAGTATGGACTTATAAAATTATTATAAGTAAAATGTTTTATTGGATGCCATTACTTGAGCATTTTCCTTGCCTCAATTAACAGAAACGTATTATGCACAAAATAAAGGGAGGTCACTTTTAATTATGAAAAATAAAAAGGAGGTGTGAAAAATATACCAAAAAACAAGGGCCTTGTTGCAAATATGCAAAACGCTTTTGATATTTCCCCACCTAAGCCCTAGAAGTAGGGACGAATCGGGCAAGGTAGCCGCGTGAAAAGTTTAGCATGCGTTGCACTGTTGGCCGCGTAATGTTGGTGGACTTTTCAAGTTTGACCCTATGTTCTCTTCATAATTACACAGTTTACCTTCCAATTTTTCCATTTTTCTTTGTAAGGCTACTAATGTAATACCGTGTTAGGGATAAACCTAATTTGCGTCGTTGTATCTTAATTGTATCGTGTAAGTAAAGAATTAACACTTATATGAATAAATATAAACACAAAATATATGTGCTTATATATTTATTACATGTGTTATACGGCATGAGATGAATAATATATTTATTAAATAAATTAAATTAAATTTTGTATAATACATCAAACTTATTTAAATTGATTAACCTATTTAATAAGTGTCATAAATCAGTTAAATGAATCATATATACGAATTGTACTCTATAATATGATTAATTAAATAAATTAGACTCGTTATATGAGGATTAAGCAAGTATAAATGTTTAAAACACAAAATGATTGTGTTTTAAATATATCAATATGTTTAAGATACAAAATATAATAATTTTAAAACCAAACTTATTTAATTACGTATCATATTAATAAATCATGCCTAAAATTATCAACTCCCATTTAAGATGCCCACCGTCCCAACTTTTTAATAAATCTAGTAGTATTTGTTGAAATAGCATACAAACCTTTGTGGTACAATAATTTAGGTTTTAGGTTTGTTGTGGTTATTAATACTTAAACCTCTTTTATGGTGGGTGGCCTAAGCCTAAATTACTTTATAAACACAGGTATTATTTATTTTCCAAATAATTAATTTGTATTAAAAATTAAGTAAAATTTCTTTGAAATGATGGGCTTTGGCCCCAGGGCTCTGATGATCTTTTTGAAGAGTACTGTCATCCAAGCCCATGGATCAAGCCCGGTTTTCATGGAACGGATCATCATTCCTTTGGATCAATCTGTAATAACTGATCTTGGTTATTGTTATCCAATCCCGCCAATTCTAGTCTTCGGGCTCCTGGGCGTAATGCAGCAAAATCCCTTTACACCCGCTAGCTTGCGCTGGTCACTCTCCGTCTTCCCATCGTCCACCACCCGTTCGACAAAACTCCGCTCAGAACCCGTCCACTCTTCAACCCCACAAATTTTCACCGTCGTTTCATCAAAACGGAGCTCCGAACGCTACCTGACGGGGCCCCAGAGAGATCCCAAGAATGCATTGTCTCGGATTATAAGGAGAGAGGCCGCCGTTGAAGGCATTGGGAGGAAAGCAAAGTCCAAGAAGCAGCGTAACAGGCTTTGGCCTAAGGCTGTTCTGGAGGCTCTGGATGAAGCTATAAAGGAGAATTCTTGGGAGTCTGCTCTTGAGGTTTGTGGGTCTTTCTCTCTTCTTTTTTGTAATCTTGTTCGATAAGAACGATAAGAAAATTTTATTTTGCCTGTTGATAGATATTTGGACTTCTTCGTAAGCAACATTGGTACGAGCCTAGATGCCAAACTTACACAAAACTGATAATGATGCTAGGTAAATGCAAGCAATCTGAACAAGCCAGTTTGCTGTTCGAAACAATGCTTTCGGAAGGGCTTAAACCTACCATTGATGTCTACACTGCACTCGTAAATGCATATGGAAAAAGTGGCCTCGTTGATGAGGCTTTTACTATTGTTGAAGATATGAAATCAGTCTCTGACTGCAAACCTGATGTATATACTTACTCTGTACTTATTAACTCTTGTATGAAACTTAAGCGTTTTGATCTGATAAGGAGAATTCTTGCTGAGATGTCTTATTTGGGAATTGAGTGTAGCACTGTTACATATAATACTATCATTGATGGATATGGTCAGGCTGAAATGTTTGAAGAAATGGAGAACTCGTTGACTGATATGATTGAAAGTGGTGATTCCCCACCGGATATTTTCACGTTCAATTCTATTGTTGGGGCTTATGGGAACAGTAGGCAGATTGAGAAGATGGAGAAGTGGTATGATGAATTTCAGCTTATGGGAATAAGACCAGACATCAAGACTTTCAACATCCTTATCAAATCTTTTGGGAAAGCAGGCATGTATGAGAAGATGGGATCTGTCATGAAGTTCATGGGGAAAAGATTTTTCTCCCCAACGGTTGTTACTTATAACAGTGTTATTGACATATTAGGGAAAGCTGGAAGGGTTGAAAAGATGGAAGAATATTTTAAGGAAATGAAGCATAAAGGAATGAAGCCAAATGCTATCACCTATTGCTCTCTTGTTAGTGCTTACATTAAAGCTGGGTCAATTAAGAAGGTTGATTTAATTTTGAGGCAGGTGGAGAATTCTGATGTAATACTAGATACCCCTTTTTTTAACTGCATCATCAGTGCCTATGGTCAGGCTGGTGATCTGAAAAGGATGGGTGACTTGTTTTTGCTGATGGAAGAGAAAAAATGCATGCCTGACAACATCACTTTTGCAACCATGATTCATGCCTACAACACTCATGGCATGATTGAAGCTGCTCAAAATTTAGAAAATAAGTTGATTAGCACCAACAAAAATTCAGGTATGAGCATTAATTGGCTCCAACACTTTGTTCTATACCATCATATTGGACTCGAAACCTCTTTATAACATTCAAAGTCATGAAAGCCACTTTTCCAATCTCCATGGTTCTCACTTGGATTTAATATGGTCTGTTTTGTTTAATATTTCTTAGATATTGAACTCAAAAATCATATAACTACAAGCTCTTTTCCTGATGTCTATGTCCAATAAAAGGACCCCATTGTCAAGCAAATGGTGCAAATTCATATTTGACTCCTGACTGCCATTTTCTGATAATTGTGATTGAGTTAGAAGATTAAAATTTGTTCAAGTTGCTTCAAATGTTCAATGTGACAGAATTTGTATTCTGCAAGACCTACTTTCTTATATAATTACCGATTTCTTAAACTTTTGGCAGTTCTGGTGAAGGAGATGATAAGGAATCATGTGAGAATGTAAATGCGATGGTAAATAAGGATGCAACGTTGAAGGTTGATGGGAACGGTAAAGATGATTGTGGACAATGTCATGGGATATCTCCTGGTGGAAGTCTGATCCAAGAAACTGCCTTTTCAATGATGGCACTGGAAACTTAACTGAAGACAAAACTTCCTTGCAAAACATGGGATGTTGCTGGAAAATTTTTGTACTCCTCAAGTAGGTATATAGGTTTGAGACATATCTATTAGATTATAGATAAGGAAATCAATAGATTAACATAATTATGAAACGGACATGTATTGATTATACAAACTCATTCGTAGAGTTTAAAAATTTTACCGTTAATGTATACAATAATAATCCTTGGTTGCAAGGATGAGAAGGAAGACCTATTAAGCAAGCTGATGTGCATGGTGCTAAGTGCTAATTGTGTCCTTTTTCGCTTTGTATTTCCTTTTATTGTTAGGTAAAAGTTCCTGATTGATGGAGTAGTGATCCCCTCAAGGAAATCTGTCATTGTGCACGTTTTGGGGAGGTCTGAAGCTGGTGTTGGAGGGACAGGAGCTTGGTGTTGTGTTTTGCAAAAGGTTTGTTGTTTGTGTTGAGCTCTATACACTCTATAATGCAGTTACTCACCCGCACGGATTAGTCCAGATGGTAAAGGAAGGAGTTCATTTCTTTATCATTGAGGTTTGATCTTTACGGAGAGTGCTCCGAGAATAAAATCTTGAATACACTAGATCTTGGATTAACAGTGGTGGACTCACCATCTTTGGAGATGGAGTCAACTTTAGATTTCGGATTTGCCTTGGTCGTGTGGGGTTGCGGCCTTGGTGCGGGCGGGCTGGTCGGTCCAGTCTTTTTCATTCTTCGGTACAAAATTGGAAAGGTGGCTCAGGAATAATAGATTGGGGGAATCATTCCATCTTGTGTAAATCTTATCCTCAATCTTGAGTTGCTGAAGTGTTTATTCTAATTTTTCTTTTTTGAGTTCTATTTAATCGCATAAAAGATTACTTTATTATCTACGTGCAGTTGTTTTGCTCTTGCAATTAAATTTTATTTCGGTGATATTTTTATATTTTGGTTTAAAATAAAGAAAGATAAACATTTAATTCAAGGACAGAAAGAGTACACAGAAAAGAAATGGTATGATTTCATCGACTAGAAATATAAAAAAATGGGAAACTTTCTGTTTTTGCAAAGTGTGAAAGGAATTAGACAGGCAGAACAAAGATGGAAAAATGGGAAAGTTCCAAACCAACATCATGAGGTGATGAAAAGTTCTCCAAGTCCAAGCTTGCAGATTTTCCTACCAGAAAGCACACAAATGAGGGTTGACAGCCATATCCAAACCCCAATTGAGAGACTTCTAATGGAGCCATCCATCAAGGAGACTATAACCCTCACCAAACCCTTCAGAGACCTGTTACACACATGGTAGCAATCATTTCTAAAAACCCTTTTTATGTTTTTTTCAAAGACAGAGCACTAGGGAACATCATTACATCTCTGAAAACAGTAAACTTTGACAATATTTGTCCTTTCAAACTGATCCAATGGTTTTGGACAAGATGACTAGGAAACTGGAGGTCAAGTCTGATCTGATTTTTGGGGGACGTGGCGGGGGCTTGGTGTTTGGTAAAGTGCCACAAATCAATATGCCAGGCATTGCTCTTGGGAGACTCCAATCTTTTTGAATGAGTTTTGAGGTTGAAATTGAAAGCGATTTCCCCATTTGTGGTTTCAACGTTGCGGCCGGTGAGTCGAACCCGAACTGCAAGGCAAAGAAGCAAACGCATGAAACACGAACATACACAGTTATTTCGGCAAAAAACATCAGTTACGTTATGTTTCTCTAAAGTCACTTGATTAGACAAAGAAATGTCAGTAGGGATTCATGATTTGATGTCATGTCGCCTTGACGAGACGCTTTTTAGTTTATGATATGTACAAAACGTTGCGGTCATGATCTCGACCTCGGATTAATCTTTTTCATGTCTGTTAGGAAGGAGAAAGAAATGAATAAAATTTGTTTTTTTGGTTTTTAATATGACTTAAATTGAGTTTTCAAGTCATATTTTTTTATTTATATATTCAAGTACGTACATATTACGTAAAATGTTTTGTAGAAATGAATAGAATATTATTATTTATTATTGAGTAAAAAAAAATCTCAAAAAGTATATAGACGTAAGTGTTGTACATTCTATTAAGTTAATTTTTTTTTTTAAAAAATCATAATTATGTGATAAAATGATATTAGAGATTACTTAATTCTTAATTAATATGAAATTTTTATTAGAGATATTATAATTTAGATAGACCCGACCCTAAGTAGTTTCTTCCTTTTTATAAATTCAAGTTGAAAATGCAAGCTCATAACATATACACATACTTTAATTTGTGAGAAATAATTCAAATAATACTTTCAACTTAAGATAAAATCATATAAGGGTAAGTAACATGCTTACCCAAAAGTCATACGATATATATGGAAAATCAGGAACAAATAATGAAAAACATGAAAATTTTCTGTTCCTATTGTCTTTATTTACCCCAAGACTTCTATTATTCTGTCAAACAAGTTGAAGCATGATATCCGTTTTTCATATATTTTCAAGGACATAAACCAAATTCTCCTACATACACAATGAAAAACATGAAAACAACTGCTGCATAAGAAATCAAAAGATAGACTTTTGATTTAGTGAATGGAGATAAAAGTATTTTGTCAATAAATTTCATTGACTACGTGTTATTGTATTTTCATTTATCAAGTTTATGTTTAATTCGATATATAAATTTAGTATTTTCACGTGAGATTACGTCTTGTGGATATCGACAATATTATCTAAGCAGCATCATAGAACTTAAAATTAAGAACAAATAAGAAAAATCATTTAATTCTTATATATATATATATATATATATATATATATATATATTCTTCTTTTATTGCCACCATTGCCACTACATATTGCATAAAACGTTGCGGAGAATGCAATTTTTGTCAATCTTTCTAGAATCCAACTTTGAAGGCAACTTGGAAAAGTTGTTCTTCTCCTATATCCCTCTTTAGTTTCCATCTTTTTGTCAAAGCACCAAATTATGCCTGGTTGAACTTGGTATCTAGCTAGCTAGCTTTTCTTTCTGGGTGGATTTCAACAGTAAACAATTTGTAAGTGCATTTCTTCCATTGGTACATATTCCAAGGATATATATAGGACCAATAAAAAAATGGCTTCTTGTTGAAAAATGCAGGTGCGAAATTCTTTCCTGTTCATGGAATAGAAATGACATATTCGTGATTTGATACTGATTGGATGATAGATTTTGAATCTTTCCTGTCATGGAAAATTAGGTACAACTCGTTATCGTGTCTCTTATTATATACAAGCTTAAGTGGTTTGTCTTAACAGAGACGGTAATGTATATTAATAATATTTATCAGAGTGACTGTTTCAATGTTGCTACTTGATAGCATGACCGGTTTCTGATCGATTTATGATATTCCTGATAGTTTAAACTAGGTATGCCCCAAAAGGTGAAAACGCCAAGGAATATGACGTCTCCCTCTTTGCTTTCAAGGCTCCACCGACCAGGAAAGTTGGCCATGTTATCTTGAAGAACATGGGATGGGTGTGTATGTGTGTGGGGGGTGAAAACCTTGAAAATTAAGGGAAACCGACTTCACAGAAAATGTAGCCATTTGGCAACTTAAAATAATTCCCCCCGCAATCCATTTTCGTGGCCACTTTCAAAAGGAGACCTTGTCTTCAATATTCTTTGTATAGGCTGGTGGTAACATTCTTTAGAGTAATTCCTAAGTTTGTAGCCAATGTGTGAACACTGGAACAACTACGCCAAGTGCGTATAAAGTCAATGGAGGGGGAGATAACGTAAGAAGCAAAGGACCATTCATCCACTAATCCATGGCAAGTAGTTTTCCCCATCAAGATATGTATTAAGATGGAGGAATTTCTTCCCCATCCACAAGCAAAATGATTGATCATGGCGACCCTGATCACCCCCAATTTGATAAAATTTGAACATCAATCTCGTGAATAAATTCCAATTGTTCCACTTGCGCAAATTATAATATACGAACGTAAACGACTAAATTCCTTTTGTGGTGTTACGATTCCTACCCCTCCGCTCCCAAACAAGGGGGATTCACTGTTTTTTTCCTAGACAAATTCCCCTTGCCGGCCTAAGGCCATTCACTACTTTTCTAGGGTTTTTGGGTTGGCTCACTTTCTTTTTTGACCTTTCCCCTTCAATTTTCACCGTCAAAGAGTTGGTATGATGAACCCTAAATGCCTATATATATAAATATAGTATATATTCTTTGTGAATAATAAGATTTCTCTATTAAATTTATCCTTTCAAAGTGAGGTGTGGCATGTGTATGCATGATGCATGCACCTTGAAAACTCGATAAAAACAGAAAAGGAGTTCTTTTTTAAAATAAGTCCCAGGCATAAGGGTTTCTGACAATATATTTTTTTATAATTTTAATTATTTTTAGTTAAAAGAATTAACATTTGGATAAAATTATCCTTAATGAAACCGACTTATTTATTTAGCTCCGTGTTTTAATCCAAACCTATTAACAGGTCAAATATGTTTAGATCTGCATTTCAAAACAACTCATATTTTTTGAGCTTTTCTCGTCATACTATTCATCTCTATAGTATTCCTTTCTAGAAAGAAAAACGTTAAAGCATTTTAAGAATTTTGAAGTAGTTTTTGATATACGAAGAAAACCTTTGAGCATTTTGAGTATTTTTAAATATTTTGGAATGATTTTTGATGTATAAAGAAAAACTTTTCAACATTTTGAGCATTCTTTGTCAAGTAGGCATATTCGTTAATTATGTTGTAAAATGGAATATAATGTATCATTTGAAGTTGTTGATCTTGTTAAATGAAATTCAGTACTTTTTGGTGATATTTAGGCATTACGTGACTAATTTTTAAGTATTGCGTGACTTACTTTGTACATTACGTGACTTATTTTAAGCATTACGTGACTTATTTTTAGATATTGAGTAACTAATTGGTAGGCATTGCGTGACTTGTTAGCAAGCCATTGCGTGACTTAGACATTGCTTAAAAATCAATCACATAATGTCTAAAAATCAATCCCGCAATGCTTATAACCAATTACGTAATGTCTAAAAATTAGTCATGCAGTAATTAAGTCACACAATACTTAAAATCCAATCTAATCAATTTCAACTCCTCAACTTTGGAGTTCTATGGTTTTATGAATAAACCAATAAACTTAAGAACCTAAAACACATATATTTTTTTTTGCTAAACCATGAAATTGTGCATTTCCTAAAAGATAAGTTACAAAACTCCATAATCTTCTAAAGTAAGACAAAATATATCTCTATTGGGAAAGCTTTGCTCACTTGTCTTATGCAAAAACAAAATATACTCCATTTGCAAAATATTTCCTAAATAATTTCAACTCAAAATCTCAAACAAACATTTTTAATAAACATTTCAATCCTAAACACAACAAAATCGTGAACTACCATAAAACCCGTCAACCATGCTTTAACTGTCCCTTCTCCCTGAGCCGTTGAAACCATTACTAAAAAGTATCCAGTTACCACATTCATCATGCTGCTTCTGAGCTCTTGAAAACATCACTAGAAAGTATCTAGTTACCACATTCATCATGCTGCCTGCAATCACCATAAAAGAGCAAAATCGCTATTTATCACCTTTGAAAACCCCAAGATCTACCATCCAAAAAATAAAAAAATAAAAAAAAATAAGAAAGAACTTGATGTCATCTCTGCTCTTTGGATAGCGAGATAGACCGTATTTGACCAGAGAAAGAAATCTACATTTAATTTTGAAATTTTTATTTGAATGACGGGATAGAGAAAACTGAAATCATTTTATTTGTCTAAAATTGTTTAAAGGGTATTGTTATCAAGTCATACTAAAAATTGATTAAAAATAGTTAAAATTATATAAAAAAGATATTTTTGAATTGGGCTCAT